CAATCACAATGCACTGGGTTAGCTGGCCAATCAGAGCAGACTGTGCTTGTCGGAAGGCGGGACTTTGTAGAAAACGAAGCGTTTGAGAGAGGCGGGGCATAGAGGACCTACAATAATGTTCAGTATTTGAAAAATAATGTGTTTTTTGAACATTACAGCATGTCAACATATTCTGTTACACCAAATACACAAAATAATGATCTTTAAAAAAGCATCATATGACCCCTTTAAAATGTAAAATTTTGGCCAAAATGTGAGTCCATAATGGATAATAACCCTTCCTCCAGTGAAAATGTCCATCTCCTGCTGTCCTCTCACATCAAAATCCACCTACATATTTGTTCAGAGCTGTTTTGGACTGCTTGATCTGTGCATATTTCTCTCCTGATTCAGACGAGACAACTTTTTTCACTGGAGAAAGCGTTATTATGGAAAAAGGACTAAAGGATATTTTAGCTGGAAGCAATGGTTTAAAGTTAAAAACTTTTGTTGTTTCTAACAAACAACAGCTTTTCACTTTACACAACATTAATTGATGGACTGGAGTGTTGTGGATTACTTGTGGATTATTGTGATGTTTTTATCAGCTGTTTGGACTCTCATTCTGACGGCACCCATTCACTACATTGGATCCATTGGTGAGCAAGTGATGAAATGCTACATTTCTCCAAATCCAATGAAGAAACAAACTCATCAGGATATCCCGAGGGTGAGTACATTTTCAGCTACTCCTTTAACACACTCAGCATATAATGTCTCACCGTTTTAACACACACAGTTTGTAGTCTGCTTTTGTATGCAGTCAGGTATTACAGATGATGACAGCAGTCAGCATTAACATCTCGGATTGTTGATTATTTTAACAGTGTGGAAAATATTATTGTTTTACCATCACTGAAAATAATACTTCAGCCCCTATTGATGTTTTTACCATGACAGTCCCTAACAGGTGCCACGATGTCTGAGAAAATATAGCAATAATGTCATTTATATGAATCATATTGTACAGGCATGCTGAATGCTGTGCTTATGAGGAATCTGTGCAATAAATAGCGAATACTGGCAAGTGTGTATATAACCAAAATCATTCCAAGTCAAACTGTTGGTTCCGCTTATGACTGTGTTATTTCAAGCTAAAATGGAAACTAGCAAAGAAAAAAAGAAAAACTGTCACACAAGGGAAGGTTTTCCACTGCAATTTAGTGGTAAGACTTTTATTCAGGTTGGGATATGGGAAAGTGTGGTCTGTGTATCAGATAGCACATAGAATTAGGCTTCACGATGGGTGATCTGACATTTTTGTTATAAAGTCCCCATTTTTGTTATATTAGGTAATAATCAAACATTTTAATTTTTAATTTACAGAGAAATTGAGCTTATAGCCTATTTTTCAATACATATAGCTATTGCAATATAGCAAAATGGAAGTGTAATGGAAGGGAAAAATATATTTGAGAAAATGTTGTATGGAAAAAGGTATAAATATGAAAAAAAAAATCACATGAGTAAAATCTCATAAGTCATGAGTTATTTAAATAGGAGGGCTGTACTCGGCATTACATTGATGTTAATGTTCTGATAAGCCTTTTAAGTATTTTAGGCATAGAGAACATTCTTTTCTTGGCAGAAAGTTCGTTTTTTTTCTCTCTTTCACCTGCCTCTGATCTTTCTAGAGGAATTCAGCTGTGAAACGAACCGCTCAGTGTTATTTATACTGTTCTGAGATCAATCAAGCATGCATGCCTAAGAACAATGTCGTGACTAGTCAAAAAATGTAAACAAGCATGTGTGTCATTAATCAATGAATTAAACTAAGCTATAAATCAAGACGGTCTAAAATGGGAAATTCGTAGCTATGCACAGATGATATTTATCTGGGCGATGTAGATGTCTTATGTTATGTCCAAAAAAACTATATGAAGGGCAATTTTTTAAATAAATGTTTTTTTTATTAATTATTTTAATTTAATTATTTTTATTACTCCAAAAAAAATTAACATTTATGAATTAATAATTAATTTTATTTATAAAAAAATACCTTGAAAAAATATATTTAAATCATTCTGGAAAATGTATTCAGGGAGTAGGGAAAAATGTTATTACTTTTTATTTAATGGTTACACCACATGACATTTTTAGACTTAAAATTAAACTTTTGTTGAAAAAGATATTAAAGTTTTCAAAAACCATGTGAAACCAGACAACAAACATTTGACACTGTGATAAATACCATTAGTATGATATCAATAATCTCTTAAAATATCAGAAAATTTGACCTTTTATATCAAGGCATGGTTAGTTCAGGTTGCAAAATGTCATGTGGTGCGACTCTCCAAAAAAAACGAATGATATATATGAATTAATAATTCATTGTATTTTATTTATAATATACATAAACTCTCAAAAGCAAAGATATATTCAAGGTGTAAGGAAAATATGGTATTACTTTTTATCTAATGGTTACACCTCATGACATTTATAGACTCATTAAAAGTATACATTTGTTCAAAAAATGCACAAAACCAAAACCAACATCAACTCTTATCAACATTTGTCCCTGACCCAACTATATTGTGATATTTACCATTAGCATGTTGTAAAAAAGTGTTGTTGGAGTCGTGGCTTTGTGGTTACAGCAAATGCTCCAGAGATGTCAAACTGTGCTGCTCATGTGGGAAATTCAGGTTCAAGCTTTAGGTTTAAAGTCTGAACCTGAATTTCCCAC